TGAGTTTGGAAAAGTCCCGAGTTAATTAACTTACTTTTAAATATTGATAGGAAATAAAATTTTTCAGTAAAGATCACATATTTATTTGCGAAATGAAACTGTTTCGTTAGACACAATTATTGAAATAACGTTAACTGTTTGAATAGACAATTTACTGTTCCTACAGATTAATTTGTTCCTTAACGAATATCCGTTAATAAACATGTCAAATCAATAATATTACAGAGCTGTTTTCTATAAAAGTAAGTGTGGTATGAAATAATTTCTAATAATAAAATATTAATAAGATCACAATCTGAGCTTTAAACTTACAGCTAGAACGCTTATTGTAATTTTGTATTATTTATTTTTTGTGTTTAAATTGCATAGAATACATCTATTTAAAAAACGGTATTAGTGATTCCGCTGTAAAAAAAATTGCGAGTAACAATGCTAATAGTAAATTTGCCAAAAAAGATACATAGCAAGTAACAGCTCCAATAGTAAAATTGTGTAATTGTAATATCAATCTTTGCGAAGCGGTTTTCTAGAATTTCTATCAATTCGATTTAATAAAGGCCCAGCTTCGTTACTGACTCCCTGTTGTGCGTTTTTATCTAACAATCATCGTGTTCCTTTTTTAAACATTCAGCACAGTAAATTTCATCGTCATAGCTTGAACATCCCTCTGAAGGTTTAGTTTGACCGCACATCGCGCACGTAGGCCTCTCGGCTTCTTCCTCTAATTCATCCACATCGGCTTCATATTTGCTTAAATTTGCTTCTGCTAAAATTTTCGCAATTAACTTCTTTGATATATGAGTCTCATCATCATCATCCATATCATTGGTTGAGTGCTAAAAAGAAGGAAATTTGTTTATGTAACATTTAATTCTACATAAATCATTGTTTATGCAACAAATTCTGTACCTTACTGGGTTTATCGCTAACATCCTGCAGTGACCTTAATCTTGATTGAATTTCAGTATCTGAGTCACTACTTGAAGATAGTTCTAATTGTTCAAGGTACTCTTGTAACAAATCATCTGTTTTTTGTTGATCTGTCCTATTATCCACTTCATGTATCTACAAAAAATGAAGTAAATATCTATAACTTATATTAAAATATTACTACAGTCTTTTATTAATATTTACATACATTTATTTTGTGATGACTAGCATTTGGATCTTCATCTTTTAATAGTGCTAATCTTTTTCTTATTTCATCCACACTTAGAGCTGTGGTTTTGTCCTCTTCTTTTAATTTTCTTAATCTATCAACTATCTCTTGATCAGCAGGTTCTAAGCCTTTTTTAAACTTGTCCCAGTGATTTGTGTGCTTGTACATTACAATAGGAGGCTTCACTGGATTTTCCAACGAATCTAATCTATGTAAAATAAACATATTAAATTATTTTGCATAGGTTTCCTACATTACAATTTAATCATATTATTTATTAAATATATATTACTTTTTAGTGATATCCACTGGAGCTATTGGTTTTTCTTGTTCATCCAACATAGTAGAATTGTTATTGGAATTTGACATATTTTTAAACCTGCGCTTATAAAAACAACGTCCACAGGTTTTTTTCACTCCTTTATCTGGAATATCACATTTATATTTGAGGCACTTACTGCAGCATGAAAAGCCACAACCTGGGCAATCATCCTAAATGTCATGAAAACAATAAAATATTGTGAAAATAAAGGTGTATTAAAAGTTGGTCTAGCGTGATTGTGCAGTGCACAAACCTAACCTAATTTAAATGACGAATAACTATATCACGAAAAACAGCGACTTACTTCTCTTGTAAAAAATGAGAATTTTGTTTGACAAATATTGCATGACATATTGAATTCACTTTTAAAACTTGGCTATGATGTTATCACGGATGTGACATTAAATTGTTTAGCATATTTGTTTATGAAAGATTCTAACGTATAAGCGACCAAACTACGTAGAATGGCCTATATATCAACAGATTCGAAGATAGTATACATTATGCTATGGAAGATATTAGATATTTCCTTTTAATGAATTAGATTACATTTTGAAAATATTTCAGAAACAGTGACGCAAATGTTTGTTGAAGAAGTAAAGTAGTAGTTCATAAACAAATTTATCTAAAAGTCTAACGTCATTCTTTATAATTATTACAGTAGTATCGTGCAAATGCGCATCTTCAGCTGCATTAAGCTATCAAAGCCTGCCCAAGCATTTAAACCAATAATTACTTATTTTTCTTATTTATTTGTAAATAAATGGTAATAAAGTATATAAAATACTTTGACACCTTTATAACTGCATTCTTAAACAAATTTGGGACATTACACTTTAATACACATTTATTGATGTCTTACTACGATGTAACAATAAAATAAAATGAAAA